TACTAAGCATGTAAATTTTAAAGCATGATTTGAAAAAAAAGCTGCAAGGATACGCAATAAATTATTGACCAATTGAATGCAAAGATACTACCTATAATCACTGGTGTGCATACCTTTATACAAGATTTGCTAACTTTAACTAGTTATTCAACAGCAGATTCTTATCAAACAGTTGTAAATCTGAAATTAAAAGTTTAAAATGTTTTTTTTTCTATCTTGACAGATGAATGAAAGACCCAAGGGATAATTGAATTCTTTTTTAATCCTTTAAAGCGTGGATATAAATATAACATAATAATACTAATAATTGTTAAATCTTTCAAATTCATGAATTATTCCCCCTTTTAGGCTTTTACTTTAAAAAAAAATAATTAAAAAAGAAAAACATTTACAATAACATAAAAAAAACCAAAACCATATTTTAAAAACAAAGTGTAATTACTACAAAATGATAATGTTATTAATTAATATTTCAATATATCTACTCTGTTTTAAATGCATATCTTTTTTGGGGGAGATAACTATGAGATAATTATGTTTTGTGTTTTAATAAGCCCTAGTGGAACCCTCAGGTTACATTATACTTGTAAAGCCTGACTAATGACCCACATGACATAGAGTACACAAGCCATTCACCTTGCATATATGTTACAGCGCCACTAGCATAAAGCAGAAGGTGATTGAGGATCAAGAGGTGCATATGCTATTGTTAGAACTGTGCTGTTAATATCATTAAACATAATTTCATGACAGTTACTTTCACAACAAAGATGAATGTTACAGTTATACTTTGGTATTTATCACATGCATAGTGACTAAGTGAAAAAGTGCTGGGATAATTTATAATATTTCAGACCTAAATATGCAATATTTAATCTGACGCATTGTTAAGTTTCATTAAGATTAATAAAGGCAAACTCCAAAGTTATCTTTAACAAATATCTCATGAAACCATATTCTATATCTCTGTATTAATTCTCGAACTAATAGTGAAAATTGTACCGCTGAGAGCGCTAACAATACAGGACAGACAGATGGACAAACGGATAGACGGACGGTCGCCTGGTTCCCGCAACGCGTTACGCGGGGAACAAAAATGTAGTCATATTTGTTCAAATTTACCTAAGAAGAGGTCTAAATTAAAATTTGTTTAAAGACAAAAAAATCAAAATATTTGTTTAATTTTTTATTAAAATGTTATACAAAATACCCAATTACCCTCCTATCTCATGCTTGCATAAAGTTGAGGTATTCAGTCCACCCCACCCCAACCCCCTGGTCTCCAGTCTTCTCCCTGGTCTTCAGTCCAACCCCTCCTCCACTTCCAAAACCAAATCAAACCAAAGATTTTAAAACTTTTTGTTTGCTACATATCCACTGATCATTCAAAACTGATTTGAATGACAATAAGTCTGTCAGTATTATTTTTAATTAATAACATTCTTAAATTTGAATTTAATTGTTAATTTAATTTAAAAAAGTCCTATATTTTACAAACATCAATAATCATCATAACAAAAGCTATAATATTTCAAAGTAAATTCATCCTTTTGATTGTAGTAATTATCAGATTAAAATCATTATACATACTGGGCAATGTAAATGTTATATGTATTAAGATTATGCCTTGCAGATATTTGAGCAACTGAACATAATTTACTGGTCACATGTTTTATTATTAGTTTCTCACTTTGGGACCGCAAAGTAAACTTTTTAAAAACCCTTAATGTTGATTTGCTTATATATGTACACTTTGTGGATTTTTTTTTAAGATTCATTATAGGGTAATAAGGACGCCATCAAATAGATAGGTAAGAATGACAATTTCAGTCATTGAAACATTCAAAATTCATTTGAGTGTATGAAAGTATGATTCTTTTTCAATTTATACTATAGAAATTTTTAAAAGTGACTATGAATTAGTGAGTCCTTTTTTTATCAATTTGACAACACATTTGTGAAGGGATATTTTGTATTGTTCTTGTGTGCGTTGAGGCCATATACATAGTTTAAAGTAAAAACTGTTTTATTTGATTTAAAAATAAAAAAATACACATCCAAGTTAAAAACGAGATGAAAAAAAGTCCAGACTTATAATTTTTGCAAAGGGAAAAAATCAGCCCGTGGTAGTATAATATAATTTGTGGCCAAATGATGTGTCGTTAAGGTAGATGGGGTGTCTAAATTATAATCCATAGAATTTTTTAATAATTTGACAAAATGTAGTTTATATCAAGCTTTTTAAAAAAAAATGATAAAAAGAATGGGTCACGGGGCTTATTTTCACGCTACAGGTTGTTCAAAATTAACAGATTTTGTATAGATTATGCATGGAAAACCCAATTTTCCACCATAAAACGAAAACTACACCATAGAATTTTGAGATAAAATATGAGAAGATAGCTTTAATAGAATGCTTTCAGATAAGAAAAAGAAAAAATGGGGTCACCGGACCCGTTTTCTTGCTACATAATAAAATAGGTAAATTCCTAACACATTCTATTGTAAAAGTACCTTTATCTGAATTATCTGCCCTTACATTTGAGTTGCCTCCCCTTATGTGGCAAAGTAGGAAAAAATTGAATCAAACAAAAGTTTTCTGTTTTTTGTAAAATGCAACCATAAATATGATAAAACATGTCATTTTCTATATAGAAATGAAAATTCTTACACATGAATTACCTACTACTCTCAAAATTTGCACATTCTATTAAAGATCTAGACCGATTGTTTTCAGGTATTAAAAAATCCAAGATGGAGGAAGACACCCTATCTACCTTAATGGGTGCAAGTCATTGGGACACTGATAAGGGGGTGGACAGAATTATGGAAACTCGGGAATGAGAGGGCTGGAAGTGGGAATTGGGTGGATGGAAGCTGGAGTCAGGGTGGTGTTAACCGCGAGTAAACGGTTGTTAAAACAGGGATAATTCATGCTTGACGAAAAAATGGGAGTTTAGAGGAACACAATACGAATTGGATTTATGTGGAGAGTAGTAGGAGTTTGGGGGAGGTAACTGGGAATCAATTCCCCCCCCCCTTGTCAACCACCTCACTGATACCCATAAAAGAAAAGGGGATGGGGTCATGTATATAATTATAAGAAACATTTTTTTTTTTGGTAAAAAATCACTAATAAAAAAAAAACCACACAGAAGCTAACATTTATTTTAGTTAAAACAACTTTATTGTTAATAAACAACTGCAAAACTGTACCAGAAACAAACACTGTTTTTGGAACAAACTATACACTACGAACGACAACTCAAACTAGTATTTTACTCTTGATAATATAAACAAAATTGATTTAATGAAAACGGTAATACGTAGGAATTAATAAACATCTGAATGCCGTAGTAAAAATCATCAGGAATTTGATCTGTTTTGCCGCTCGGAGATGCCGATAAGTGAAGTTTTACAAAATCATGTTTTTGGGGGAAGGAAACACATGTTGATACCACGATAATAATTCTGTTACCTCGTTCCTCAATTTATATAGTTCGTTTGATTATATTCTTAATCTGTTTCTGTGTTCCTAGCCTAGGATGATTTTTCATTCTTAAACCTTATAAGTACTTTAAACATCGTATCATCGTTACCTTTTCCCTTTCTCACACGTATCCGTTACAGGAAAACTGCAAGGTCATTACGATACCGAAGAATATTTCGTAGAGACGTCATCTTGGACACAATTTGTGGCTAACCACAGAGTGAGTTAATTTTATTACATTGTATCTGAAGCCTTCAAATTGCTCTTCACATATTTGAACCTTTTCTCCGTGAAATACTTGAAATTTAACTGTTCTTGAAAGTACATTTTCTCGCATTCAATGGACTGTGCTATCAATTATATATGACATTTCGTTCATCATAACAGTAATTCACGCATTGTAAATTTGTATTTTATTTTGTATTTCAGCTTTTTACCATTTGTTAGATTGACTCTTGATTAAATTATCAGCACCTGATAGTCTTTTCTGCTTGAGCCCAATCGTCGGTTAAACTTAATAGTCAGGCCATTACAGTAAAAAGTCTACAACTTGCCTGTTGTGTCTCACAGATAACGCCACTCCACGTCAGTTCTACAGCTACAACCTGCCTGTTGAGCCTTGCAAAAACGCGTCATCCCTTGACGTACAGTCAATTGACGACAACCTGTCTATACATATCCAGACAAGGAACTACAACGTAGCATCGTTCGCAACTGTTACAACGACATTACGCAACACAGCTTGTGTGTACCAGGCAGCAAACCGCCAACGTTTGCAACAGTTTATTTTTAATCTTACTATCCGTTAGTTGATTGGAAACATGGATTATGATCACGCAGAACGCAAAGATGACCCGAACGTCAAGAAACAGAACTCCAAACAGAAGAAGAGCGTCAAATAGATGCTGGACAGCTTGTAGACAATCCGCCGAATGTAGAGGAAAATCCCGAGACTAGGCGAGTACGTGACCTCACGGAAAAAGGCCAGGGAGCATTCACAGAAAAACGTGACAAGTTCTGTCAGGAATTAGAGGCCCTCTGGTCTGATATAAAATCCCAGTTATTGGAAGTCAGCACGCCTCCTAACAAGCTCCAGCAACTGTTAACAGCACAGGACAAACTTGTAAAAGCCTGTACTTACTATCGTAGGCTCACAAATGAATACCTGGACTCTCTGAAAAGGACCAGAACATTGGACAGTCTAAAGGACATAGATGCATGTAATCTTTCATTGGATATTCGATTTTCTAAAGTGGACCTGGCAATAGAAACATTGCACGAACATCGCCTCGCCCTGACAAAGGCTAAATCCACTAAAACAAAGAAGTCAAAAGGTAAGAAAAACTCTCACAGCGGAAGCTCTTATTTGTCTGACATGTCAAGCCTAGCACGGAGGAAGCGTGCTAAAGCAGAGGCTGCTAAATCAAAAATAGCATTTGTCGAACAACATGCCCTGATCCTTCAACAGGTAGCAATTATAGAGGAACAAGCTCTGTTCAGACAAGCTGAAATGGAACAGGAAGCCACACGTCAAAAGGCTGAAATGGAACAGGAGGCCATACGCAGGAAAGCACAAATGAAACAAGAGGCCGCACGTGTAAACCGGGAAAAAGCCGAGCTGAAAGCAAAATCAGACCTTCTTGAAGCACGAAGAGAAGCTGCAGCCGCAGAGGCCGAGGCTCGTGTCCTAGAATATGACGACAGACAAGCGTTGGACGATCTTCCTAAAGAAACGGAAGACCCGCTCCAACGTGTGCAAGATTTCGTAAACAAACACCCTGTACCAACTGCCGTACAGGAAGTGACAGGCCCTCTAAAGAAAAAACAAACTCCTATTAAGCTAAGTCATGAAGCACCAGACTTCGTGCCATCCGTGGCTTTGAACTTGCCGTCACAGACACCTCCTGCCTTGCCTACCGATACAAAGTCACCAGAAGTTACTTTATTCCCAGATCTGGGAGCGGTAACTGGCATACAAAAACAAGGCGTTTCAGAGGAGATCCTTGCTCAACACCAATAACAGGGTGTTGCAGAAGAGATCCCTGTTGCATACCCTAGCTACATCGGAGATAACCAGATTTCTCCTACGTAAAGACCTGCTGTTCTCCCGGTTAACAAGCTTTAACGACCGGGCAGAATCCTTCCATACATGGAAAGCTAGCTTTAAAAACGTCATAGACGAATTACAAGTTTCCTACTCTGAACAGATAGATCTACTTATCTAATGCCAACAACCCAACAAGAGGCCTGCAGTGGTTATGGGGGAGACTGGATGAGCGATATGGTGCTCTAGAAATGTTGGAGGCTTCTCTCACAAGTGAACTCGTCAACTTTCCTACTTTGACGAACAAAGACAGTTCACGTCTTTATGATTTGTCGGATATTATCTCAGAAATAGAATATCACAAGGAAAATCCCAAGCTGGGATGTTTGCTAGCTTATTTCGACTCTTCGTCCGGGATAAATCCAATTGTGGAAAAATTGCCATACGGACTCCAAGAAAAGTGGATAACAAGGGCTTCAAGATACAAGTCTAAATATAAAGTTGCCTTTCCGCCTTTCACAGAATGCTCTGCCTTCATCAGGGAAATTAGCAAAGTAAAGAACGATCCTGGGTTCATCTTTGGGTCAAAAGTCACACCAAATACAAAAGGCGCTGCGCCAAATTTCACACCTCAGACGTATTCTAAAGTCAACGTCCATAAGACGGCTTTTGAATAGCAACCTGGAGACAGGAGTCAACAACAAGATCTGTGTATCCTACACAAGACAAAGCATCCCTTGAACGAATGCCGAGCGTTCAGAGCCAAATCAATTGAAGAACGCAAGGAACCGTTAAGACAAATAATGTTTGCTGCAAGTGCTGTGAGTCAACCACACACAGAAGTCGGGACTGCAACGCAAGTATCAGTTGTAATGAGTGTGGAAGTCAACGACACACCACCGCACTACACATAACAAGGGTGCAACCGCACGAACATTCTCAATCTAGTTCCTCTGGCCCAATCTACGGCGGGGAGCAGACAGAGTCCGCTGAAATCAAGTTAACCTCTGTGAGTTCAACCTGCACAGAGATCCACAAAGATCCTAAGAGTGAGAAATCATTGACGACCAAAGCAACCGGTCTCTTGCCTCGCCTGAATTTTTCAGTCTGTTCCATGTTCAGGAAAAACCGGAAAACTACTCTCTAACAACATGCTCCGGCAGAGTAGCTACTACCGGGAAAAGAGGAAGAGATTTCGTCTTAAAATCTGTACATGGTGACGTACAATTTGATCTGCTTACATTAATTGAATGTAATAATATTGCCAATAATAGGGACGAAATACCTACTCCTGAAGTCACCATGCATCATCCTCATTTAAAAGAACTCAGAGGAAGCATTTCACCAATAGAGGAATATTGCCAAATTCTTCTCTTAATTGGAAGAGACCTAATAGAGGCACATCACGTCCTTGAACAACGCCTAGGACCATCTAGAACTCCATTTGCCCAAAGGTTGAAACTTGGTTGGGTCATAATTGGAAATACATACATTGACAAGCAAACTAGTATATATATTTGTTTAGGGGCCAGCTGAAGGACGCCTCCGGGTGCGGGAATTTCTCGCTGCATTGAAGACCTGTTGGTGACCTTCTGCTGTTGTCTGTTCTATGGTCGGGTTGTTGTCTCTTTGACACATTCCCAATTTCCATTCTCAATTTTATGTTCCACTTGAAGTCAACACGAAGATAGCTAACGTTTCAATCACGAGACCAGAACAACTTCTTGCCCCAAGACCGGAACAAGCCTTCAGGAAGAAAATCTAATTTTTGGTCAAGATAACGACCAAAACTTTGAGTTCGAATGTCAAGGTTGCAAAAATGTATTCCATACAATTCCTTGAGTCTGCTGGATCTAGTACCAAGTCTGGTAGATTCGTGAATTTCTCTAAAGGGACAGCACTCGTGTCACCAAAAGCAAAATCTGTGACTTGTATAGAAGATTCTATGGATAAAGAAAATTTCATTCTGAAATCAACAAAACCTGAAGTTCACGGAGAAGTGATAAGTCTCATTCACAAACAAAAACCTATTCCGAAATAAGGACCGATTGCCAATCTCAATCTGCCTTTGAAAAAGCAGGAAATACTCCGAATAAGAAGCTGTATAGTCAAATCTGACTTGGATATTAGTGAAAAGGAACCAGTGATCTTATCTGGACATCATCACAAAGTAACGCCTTTTTTCACACATTACTACGACAAAATCAAACATCGAGGACGCCACTTCACAGATAGAGCGACTAGATCCGCAGGATGGAACGTTAGGACGAAACGCTTAATTTCGTCTGACACTCGCAAATATGTGACATTTCGCCAACTCAGAAGAGGACCAAGTACTAACTCTCGTCTGACATTCCAAAGGACCATCGTCAACCGTCATCGCCGTCTAACAACGTTGGAGAAAACATTTCCTATTATCGATACAGCAATAGTGGAACATTCTACAGATCACAGCGATCTCATTGGAGACATCCTTCTTCTAAGGACAAGAAACTGTGCCGAACCCAGTTTCCCGTGGAATGAATTTATTCAAGAAACTTTTTAGTAAAAAATCATAATTTGCTCTTCACATATTTGAACCTTTTCTCCGTGAAATACTGGAAATTTAACTGTTCTTGAAAGTACAACATTTTCTCGCATTCGACGGACTGTGCTATCAATAAAATATGACATTTCGTTCATCATAACATTAATTCACGCATTGTAAATTTGTATTTTATTTTGTATTTCAGCTTTTTACCATTTGTTAGATTGACTCTTGATTAAAGTATCAGTACCTGATAGTCTTTTCTGCTTGAGCCCAATCGTCGGTTAAACTTAATGGTCAGGCCATTACAATAATACATTGATAACACTGTCTTGTCAAATATACCGTATTGTCAAAGAATGCAGCACTTGTGTCTTCATCGACGGCCATGGAAAAATGGTGATGATAAAGCATGCAATTCCGGAAATTGACCGTCTCCGAAAATAATATATTCTAAAATTGAGTAATCGGCCTTTTCGCGTCAGACAACTATTGAAAAGGCTCAGTACTGTTTAGATCCGATTTCGTTGTGTAGCATGAATTGGGTATATTTGTTAAAGAAGATTTTTATTTATTTAAGATTACGTAAAAACGATATGTTGCTTTCTGCCTATGCAAAGATGACCATAAGTAAAATAACAATCTACAGTTACTTTTTAAATAGCCATGACTATTTTTTACATTTTAAGAAAGCGAACACTATACACAATTGATATATATTCTAATGTTTGTATTAAATAGCAGATATCTTCTTATCTTAATATTAAATTTCATTATTTTTTCCAAGAGACCAAATCATACATCGAAAAACCAGTAGTGGAAAGTCATACAAAAAATGTTTATTACAACGAGGTAAAGGAAGATAACGAAACTGGTGGTTATTATGCATTCAGTGTCGGCTCACAGCTACCTAAGGATGCCATTGAAGTCAAAAACTTTTACGGATATGTTGAGAAGAGAAGAGGAAAAGAAGGGGATATACTTAAAGAATTTCTTGTGAGTATTTTACAAAATATGCATTGTATTTTTCTCAAACAGGACATCACCATTGGAAGAATAGTGAAACAAGTTTCTACTTAAGGTGGCTCGGGTGTCTTCCTCCATCTTGGATTTTGAAGTAGCAGACAACAATTGGTCTAGATCTTCAATGAAATGTGCAAATGTTGAGAGTAGTATGTAATTCATGTTTAAGACTTCTAATGTTAACATAGAAAATTATGTGTTTTATCATATTTACGGCTGTAGTTTTAAAAAACACAATATTTTTGTTTGATTTATTTTTTTCCAACTTTGCCAAATAAGGGGAGATAACTCAGATAGAAGGGGAGATAACTCAGATAAAGTAATTTTACAATAGAAAGTGTTTTGAATTTACCTATTTTAATATGTAGCAAGAAAACAAGTCCGGTGACCAATTTTTTCTTTTTCTTATCTGAAGGCATGTTATAAGAGCTATCTTCTCACATTTTATCTTAAAATTATATGGTGTAGTTTTCTTTTTATCACACAAAATTGGATTTTCCATGCATAATCTATACAAAATCTGACAATTTTGCACAACGTGTAGCGTGAAAAAAAGTCCATTGATCCATACTTTTTTATTGTATTTTTGAAAAAAGCATGATAAAAACTTCATTTTGACAAATTAATAAAAAATTCTATGAATTTTAATTAAGACGCCCCAGCCACCTTAAGGTCAAGGAACAGTAAATGTGCTATGTCACTGACCCTATCATTATTTTACATCATTAAAAAAGAAATTTCTGTATCAACAACATATAGTTTTTCAAGAAAAATCTATGTAGTAGAAATTAGAGATATGATGATTATAAGACAAATTTAAGAATTTTTTTCGCCGATTTAATGTGCTTTCTATACAAATGTTCACCTATTTTGAGAGAATTCAATCAGTAATCTTTCAGACGATAAAAGAGATAAATGCATATTGTTTTCGATTTTCAGTTATAGTTGACCGAGCCGAAGTTGTATGCAAAATTTTAGCAAAATTGGTGACATAGCCCATTTACTGTAACTTGACCATTTAAGAAAAACGTATTCACCTACCGCTGAACATATTGACATGAGCAAATACGTTTTGTTTTGCTACGAAAATTTTAAATACCATGTTCTGCTAACGAATGCAAAGCTTTCCACAACGAAAACGCGTATGCTATATTTAATTTGTATCTGATATTGGTCGTTTTCCCTTGATGCCTTTAGTTTATTTTGAGTAGTTTTCCTTTCGAGTCATATTTGAGCTTGCAGCTATAACAATCTTGACTGCGATGATGTTTGAATCAAAAACTTGAACAATAATAATTATTACAAGTTTGAAACCAATGCTATATAACTGATTTCAGTTCAATAATCAAGATGACATTTCAATAAATTTGACGATTCTATTTGGTGAAGAATCGGATTTGTGAATAATAAAATGAAGCTTTTTTCTATACAGTTGTTTGCTGTTTGAATAATAGATCTGTTTCCAATTCCAAATGCTATTATTCGCAATAAAATAATCACATATATGATTTCAACATCTGTCTGTCCATCTGTCAGTCATTCCGATAATCTGTTGTTTTTCGATAGTCCTTCCCAAATCATGTAAAATTGTTTATGTTCATTTATTTTCATAGCACTTGGTAGATACCGCTGCTTGTGAACTATAAGTTCCTGAAAGTATCATCAGCTCAGTAATAAGTGCTTCGGTACTGACGTGATTTTAACATTCATGTACTTTTGATTAAATTGTGCGTTTATAAATTAAGAAATTTTAAAGAAACTGAGGTTTAAATTCCGTCAGGCAAAGTTGACCTGAGATAGTTTTGGCTATATTTGACAGTCTCATTTTGGTCATATCGCTTTTCATCATATGTTTCGGTACTTCTTTGGCTTCAAATATTTGAATTTGAGTTTATATTGAAGATCAATTCAGAAAGAGCGTCGGACGCATGAAATCTATTAAAAGTTAATTCATTTTTTTTTATTTTTTTTTAGGCAATTAACTATAAAAGTTGGGGTCAAATTAAGTTTAAACTTAATAGTACACTTGTTCATTATGATTTGAAAATAAAATGTATGCCTTTTTTTAAATTGTTTCCGGATTTAAGGGTTAACTTAACATGAAAACGTGATAGTTGGAGGAGGCATGGTGTCCTATGTACACGTATACTTTTTTGTTATTAATTATTAGGATGTGATGTTACATAAACATATGTATGTGGTTTTATATTTATCATTTTCAGTATAATCTTTATCATATGTTGCAGAATCTGAAAAGTGGACTACAAAAACCTACTGACGCTGCATTAAAACCAGGAAACAGACTGAAAAATAAATATAAAGATATGTATGCATGTGAGTTTGTTAGATTAATTGAATTGAATATAAGAAATCATTCGAATTTTGATCCATAAACATGTGACACAAATTTTGAAATATATTGACAATGTCTATGAATAAAATAAAGTAATACATCGTCAAATTAACATTTTATATTTCTTTGCTGAATTTGTATTCCCCGTAAGTTGAGTAACTCATCACATGGGTATTCAGACTAACGCTGCAATCTGGGTAAAATGTGAAACATGGTTATGCAATAAAGTTTTGTTTAATTGTTAAAAAAATCATTCACTAAAACCCGGCACATCTTCTTTTCTCAGTAAATGACGTACTTTTTTCAAACGAAAAAAGGCTCAGATGTTTTTGTGATAATTGTATCGCTTATGGCACCTATGCCTGAGAATAAATACTAAAACATTTAAATAATTGAGGCGTGATGTCGTATGTGATCCAGTTCTTGAATGATATTAAAAAGTTAAAATATACTAAATGGGCCGTGATTAAAAAACTAAAATTCGAAGAAAAACACCATTGTCAGAAGAGCACTTGGTACACGAAAAGACCAACAACATATCAAAAAACGCAAAACAGAAAACCAACGATAAAGTGCCACTAGTGAATTAACCAATCTTTAGAATTCGTTGATTAGTCATAATCAGTGGTAAGTTACAATAACGTTTTGCATTTTGATAATAAGTTATGAGATATAACCAATTTTATAAAAAGAAAACGTATATAGTTATATATATATATTCGACCTGTTAGTCAAATGCGTTTTGTTAAAATATACCTTTTCACTTTTTTGGTCTCTTGGAGAATGTTGTTTGTGCTGTATTTAGACCCCTCTATCAAGAAATTTGTTTTGCATGCACACATATAAATTGCGATTTTTATCCAACGCAATCATAGGTTTGAACGTTGTTTTCAATTTAGACTTGTTTATATTTTTTCGTTTGGGCTTGTATTATATTTTCCTTCGGGTTTATATGATCCGTTCATCCTATTTCTAATATTTCGAGTCTTTAAATTTCAAGAGTCTATCCTAAATTTAGGTGAATCATGTGGCCTTCCAAATACCGTTTCGATCCCTAACATCACTGAAGAGATATTAATTGTCGAAATCCGGATATGGTGTACTAATTTTTGCACCTTTTGTTAGCGGTATACCATCTTTTCCGCAAATTTATTGTTTTTTGTTTGGTATTAAATTAATAATTTTAAAAGATCCATTTTGTAACATCTTGTGATCCGTTTATTTGGCAATCGCCAATGGCAGTCAGCAGGGTTTAAGAACATCAGTTCTTCGATCTGTTAGTCAAATGCGTTTTGTTAAAATATACTTTTTCACTTTTTTGGTCTTTTGGAGAATGTTGTTTGTGCTGTATTTAGACCCCTCTATCAAGAAATTTGTTTTGCATGCACACGTATAAAAATTGCGGTTTTTATCAAACGCAATCATAGGTTTGAACGTTGTTTTCAATTTAGACTTGTATATATATATCTACCGTTGGTAGAGGGGTCTAAATACAGAGCAAAGAACATTTTCCAAAAGACCAAAAAAGTGAAAAATTATATATTTTAACAAAACGCATTTGACTAGCAGGTCGAACAACGGGTGTTCTTAAACCCTGCTGACTGCCATTGGCGATTGCCAGATAAACGGATCACCAGATGTAACAAAATGGATCTTAACTATTAATTTAATACCAAACAGAAAACAATAAACTTGCGGAAAAGATCGTATACCACAAACAGAAGGTGCCAAAATTAGTACACCATATCTGGATTTCGACAATTAATGTCTCTTCAGTGATGTTAGGAATCGAAACGGTATTTGGAAGGCCAAATAATTTACCTCAATTTAGGATAGACTCTTGAATTTTAAAGAGTCGAAATAAGATAAACGGTCATATAAACCCGAAGGCAAATATAATACAAGCCCAAACAAAAAAAAATAAACAAGTCTAAATTGAAAACAACGTTCAAACTTATGATTGCGTTAGATAAAAACCCCAATGTTTATACGTGTGCATGCAAAACAAATTTCTTGGTAGAGGGGTCTAAATACAGCACAAACAACATTTTCCAAAAGACCAAAAAGTGAAAAAGTATATTTTAACAAAACGCAATTGACTAGCAGGTCGAACAACAGATGTTCTTAAACCCTGCTGACTGCCATTGGCGATTGCCAAATAAACGGATCACCAGATGTACCAAATGGATCTTAACTATAAATTTAATACCAAACAGAAAACAATAAACTTCCGGAAAAGATGGTATACCGCAAACAAAAGGTGCAAAAATTAGTACATCATATCCGGATTTCGACAATTAATGTCTCTTCAGTGATGTTAGGAATCGAAGCGGTATTTGGAAGGCCATATAATTTACCTCAATTTAGGATAGACTCTTGAATTTTGAAGAGTCGAAATAGGATGAACGTCATATAAACCTGAAGGCAAAAATAATACAAGCCCAAACGAAAAAATATAAACAAGTCTAAATTGAAAACAACGTTCAAACCTATGATTGCGTTGGATAAATACCGCAATTTTTATACGTGTGCATGCAAAACAAATTTCTTGGTAGAGGGGTCTAAATACAGCACAAACAACATTTTCCAAAAGACCAAAAAAGTGAAAAAGTATATTTTAACAAAACGCATTTGACTAGCAGGTCGAACAACAGATGGTCTTAAACCCTGCTGACTGCCATCGGCGATTGCCAAATAAACGGATCACCAGATGTAACATAATGGATCTTAACTATAAATTTAATACCAAACAGAAAACAATTAACTTACGAAAAAGATGGTATACCGCAAACAAAAGGTACAAAAATTTGTACACCATATCCGGATTTCGACAATTAATGTCTCTTCAGTGATGTTAGGAATCGAAACGGTATTTGGAAGGCCATATAATTTACCTCAATTTAGGATAGACTCTTGAACTTTGAAGAGTCGAAATAGGAAGAACGGATCATATAAACCCGAAGGCAAATATAATACAAGCCCAAACGAAAAAATATAAACAAGTCTAAATTGAAGACTATATATATATATATGTATATGTGTGAGTTCGAATCCCGGCGAGGGAAGAACAAATTATATATATATATATATGTTACTGTTCTCTTATTTATGATGGTAACTTTTGTATGATAAAAGATAAACAAGACTCTTTGATGTAAAAATGAATAAAACGTGACGAAAACAGAAAACGAAATCAAAAGCAAAAGTAAAACAAAGCCCTTTTAAACTAACTAGAGCTGTTAAACTCAAATGATGTGAAAGCGTAAGTAGGTTTGCTCTTCTAATGGGATCCGTCGTTTTGCTCCTTCAGTTAAGACACCTGATGATAAATCGGTTCTGGATTAGTAGGATACATTGTAAACTTGTTCGTAAAAGGCTTATGTAAGTATGATCATTACAGTTATTTTTATCTTACAGATGATGAAACACGGGTTATACTTGACAACTCGAGTTATATAAATGCATCTTTCATTCAGGTAAGTCGATTTGAGGTTTTCAAAATATTTTTGATGACACGAGTCTAACGAAAAAGATTCAAACCATAATGTATATAGATTAAAGTATTATTTGTTTCAAATATGACAGAATTACATATTTCGTAATGAAATGATTTCAAAACTATTGTATGAACATTTATCAACATTTACCAATTTTCGTGTAATAGGAAAAAAGAAACTTCTTTCTTGAAATGAATTGATACACACATCCCCTAAACTACTGCTTAATATGCTATATGCAGAATTAACATTTGCTAAATGGTGGCTAAAATGTATTTCATTACTGCATTTCACCTGCGGTTGTTATCAATGTCTTCACTTTCAAATATTATAAATGAATGAAAAATTCGATGTATATGAGGGAAAATTGTTATTTACTAAACTTAAACATTAAAACATGCAGGTAATTTGGAATTTTTAAAAGACGAGCTGACTTTTTCATGGTTGCAAAAATGAACCCGGTTGGAATTTTAATTAAAATTGGAAACAAGATGTTTTTGGATATCCGTTATTCAAATGAAAAAAGGATATGGGTAATTACAAATGTCTTCGCTCTATATTTAATTTAATTTAATTCAACGTCTTTAAGGCTGATTGCCTATTGTCGAGCAGCATATTGGTTATAAAAAATGCAAATTGTAAACAGCAAATATATTTTTTTCTAGCTTTGTATTCAATTTAAAAAAAAAACTGACGAACTTTCATAAAATGATCTAAATGTCGTTCAAAGTTCCTGTAAGGACCAGGTCACACTTTCTTTTATGCAGTTTCTGGGAATTTCAAAATAGAATATGGCGCAATATGAATTAGAATATTCCACGCTATCCTCACGCACTATTACAACTTTCACGTTCAGTGATTTTTAACATTTTTTAATCGAAAATACAGTTTAAATTGAATAGAACTTTTGAATAAAAGCTCATACAGAGATATCATAAGTGTCATATGAAAGCTATTGATGAATATTCAAGAAATCTAAGGACAATCTTTCTTTCCTTGGTCATACGGTGTCTCTAAAAATGTCACTTCGACTAGCTGAAAAAAAAGTGTAAAATATGAAATTCATGAGAAAAACAAATGGTGTCAAGATATCTAATCTACTAAAATAACGAGGGAGGTCCAATTTGTTCGCCGGCATGACGTAAAAACGACGAATCAAAGAAACCAATAATTAACAAGTTCCGGGTCGAATCCGTTACTTATACCAATACTATATGTCACATATAGTTTCCGGTTGTAGTTACCTGTTACCTTCTGTAAATCCCTCCTCTATCAGGAGAACATGGAATTCTTCCAGTAGCTGTTTCATATCTATGTAACAATATAGTACACTATTTAACAAGTTTGTTTTCTTCCACCTCAGTACCACTATAAATTGTGGTTAATTAGTTAAAAAAAATTAGTTTATAGTAAGTGTATTGAAGTAAGAAAACTAGGACGGGTTCAAACAGATAGATTTTAAAAGCAGAGAAAACTGTGCACCTCACAATCAGTATGACTTTATCAGATGACTGTACGAATTCTAAAACATCCAGGCTTCAAATAAGGCATAGGTACTTTAATTCAGTAACGCACCGGCGATGTCGCGGATGTGTTCTAGTATTGTTGTAAAGGGTATTACTTTGATGCAGAAACGATGGTCCAAATCAGTTGGTGCAAAATGTCATGAAATATCGATGCCCTTAACGTCCAAAATAACAGATTTTAAATGTTTTTTGTGTAAAAAAAGTCACTGACACAACTAACTGGAAATATCGTTGAATTCAAACTGTTATCCAAATCAAACCTTTACACATTTTTTTAATGAATAAGCAATAATAATTTGATTTAGTGGCGCACCCTTGATAACAAGCAAACACGTTTCATAATTCTTATTCCTGTTCTGTTTTAATATAATGTATCTTAAGGTTAAAGAAAATATATTATGAGTTACTTTTTTACACATGTGCCAACCAAATAATCAGGGATAGAGAATCGTTTTAAAGTCTACAGATCAACATAGAGTTTTAAATGAATTTGTTATGCAGTTATGGCGAAATTTGAAAGAGTGACACGGCTTTTCATATCATTTTTAGAAATGAGTTATCATCTGACCTAAACTATTATTTCTTTGATTTAATGCAGGCTATATTTCAGAGTAAGCGAGCTTTAAAAAAAAAATGGATTATATTTTTAAAAACAATAGTTAGTTATCCGATCTTATATTTTATGGATAAGTAAAAATATTGGAGTAAATTCAAATATTTAATTTCTTAAAACTGTTCAATATATGTTTGGTTATCTTGAGAAAAGATAGCAATTAAGTAATACAAAAACGAAAGATATCTAGCGTAGATCATGAACTCGTTAGATATATATATAGGTATCTACACAAGAAAACACGGTCTAACCCGCCATACCTAAATTTGTTTGACCTATTTCAGGGATATGGACAAGTCCGCAAATATATAGCTGCTCAAGGTAAGAAGGCTAAATGATATCAGTAAAATGCAAACTGTGCTAAGTACATAAAACTAGAGGCACATAGAGGCATATTTTCCAGGAACGATATTTATACATGTCATTTACTTGTGTTCCTGTTCGATGTAAACAGAGTATAGTGCTTTTGTAGATAAAAGGGCATTAAATATCAAGCATAATCATGATAACCTCTTTTGTTTTGATAAATTCATTGGATTAAACTTTTGAAAAAAATATCGGTTTTAACAATGCTGACCGATATGTAGTTATTATATGTTTATTTGTTAAAAGTTATTGGTTAAACGATCACATACACCATAGCAAGTATGGGTGTAAAACGGTAGTTTAAAACAAAAACAAAATAATACAACTAAAAAAAAACAACATACAAGTTATATAACGTCAACATTATAGGTGTAACCCGCGGAACATGATAAACTAAAGTATCAATTTATGGGCTACTCTCGCTGTACTTCCGTTGATGATGAAGTCAATAGTATCATTTCACTTGTACCTGGCAAAAATGATTGATTTCAAAAGACAATATAATTAACGGTATCGTTTTCAATCTAATCAAGGTATTCCGTTTATAAACTCCATCGTCAAATGAATAATTAGTTATTTTAACTTTTTTATGTTACCTTTTCCTTTCACAACGGAGCATATTCTCTTTTATGTCGCATTTGTTATCATTTTAGCAATAACAATGAAATTTCAACCCAAATAAAGTATCCGAAAATAGAAAAAAAAAGTTCTTCTGAAAATATTTATAAAAAATGTCGTCTTCAATAAAAAGAACATGAAACTCAAAACAAAAGCGTCGTTATTAAACTCTGAAATTTATTGTAGGTCCTCTTGATAAGACTGTCGATGATTTTTGGAGAATGGTTTGGGAGTATGACTGCGGTAAAATTGTGATGCTGACAAATGTGTTTGAAAATGGAAAGGTTATTAAACAAACCGGTGGCATAACATTTTATTGATTAATGACATGATCTTATATCGCTTGTTTTTTGGTCTACTAGTGTTACATATATTTAATGGTATTAATTACATACTCGTGTTAAATATACAAAACGCAAACATAATCTAAGTTTGCCGACAGCCCGTCATGGTCGATGGACGCCAGGTGTATTATATAATATTCACAAATATTTTTTTTGCAATGCATACATATTTCAAATTATATAATTCCTATCTAAAAACAACAAAACCAAACCAAACCAACTTTGACTAAATAAACCCATTCATAGACGGTTTGGGTCGACCAGAACAACTAGAAATAAAAAAGGACAAAAGCGAACTAAAAGCTATTGAAACCCGTGTCAAGTGCGCATTTCCTTCTCCAGAGTCAGGTACTCGGACCTTCACCTAAAACATGTGTGTACTGGTAATCATTTGAGAAGAAATATGATTCTGTTTTAACGATCAGAAGAACTTTTCTGGTGTTATTTATGACATATTTAATAACTGATTTTTATGTGGTTCGTATAACGCTACTTTAATTCTACACTAAATTGTAATCTAAATTTCTTAAAATCATTACAATTTTAGGAAAAATGCATTCAATATTGGCCAGATCATGAACAGCAGAATATATCCTATGGATCTATATCTTTATTGTTGGTTAAAGAAGATGTTTATTCAGATTTTACTGTCAGAAGAATAAAATTGCAAAAGGTATTTCGAGAAAATATATTTTTCATTTTGTATTGTTGACAAATAAAGGCGGAAGATACCACGGGGACATTTAAAGCTTTAAAAGTCGAGAGACACTGACAAAGTTATGGCAAAACACGAAAGGTTACGAAAATACAAATATGTTGAATTTGGAGATAGACTTTTTCAATAACATGTCGACATTCGTATGGGAACAAACTGCGCGCTTATCCATGGCGACCTCGTCTTATTTTCATATGAGTCGGAGTTCCGTCAGGCACTTGTCAAAAACAAGACGATCAAAGAAGCCAGATCATTTAATTTCAAATTCAGATATATTGATAATGTTATTTCCATTAACAACTCAAACTTTTCTATTTGGGTTTCATTAATATATCCCCCAGAAATAGAAATTGAAGAAACAACAGATACGGCTTCCTCCACCTCATTTTTTGACTTATAGCTCGAATTTGACATAAGCGGTCATCTCAGTACCAAATTCTCTGACAAACGAGACGATTTTAATTTCGAACTCGTCAATTTCCCACACCTTAGCAGCAATATACCAACTTCACCTGCATATGGGATATACATTTCCCAACTCATTCGTGATTCAAGGGCTCGAAGCTGCTACTCAGACTTTATAAAACGTCACCAGTGTCTGAGCAGAAAGTTGATGAACCAGGGTTATGTCAAAGAACGTCTCGTCCTTTTTCTAAAAAAAGTTCATCGGAAGATATCAAGACCTTATTGATAAATATTCCGTATCAACTTCACAAATTATAGCTAGCCATAACACCAGGTTCAACTCATCATTTTTTTCTTAAAATGTCCTGTACAAAGTCAGGAATTTGGCAGTTGTTATCAAATAGTCCGTTTCTATGTATGTTGGCGTTTGTTTTCGTTGCAGGTCAGTGTTTCTGTTGTCCCGTTGTTTTCCCCTTAAAGTTGATGTGTTTTACTCGGTTTTAGTTTGTAACCCGGATTTGTTTTCGCTTAATTGATTTATGACTATTGAACAGCGGTATACTACTGTTGCCTTTATTTGTTAATAAAATGGAATTCGATTCGACTGTCATACAAGTGAGAGATTTAGCTAGCTATAAAACCAGATTTGATCCACCATTTTCTACATAAGGAAATGCCTGTACCAAGTCAAGGAATATGACGGTCGTTTTCCGCTCGTTTGATGTGTTTGAGCTTTTGATTTTGCCATTTAATAAGAGAATTTCCGATTTGTACTTTCCCTTGAGTTCGGTATTTTTGTTATTTTACTTTTTTTTTAATGGCTTATTTTCGAATATGTTGGAATAAGCACGATTTTAACGATAAGACATTATTTACTTATACCAAGGAGCTTGCGGTTTGATAATCGCATTTTTAGATTGACACTGCATTCATGTTTAAATAGGATTTGCTTACCCTTCGGGAGTAACTGAGATCATCACGGTTTATTTGCGGGGTTCGTGTTGCTGAGTCTTATGTTTGTTTACTTATTTGTCTTTTCTTTTTTAGCCATGGCGTTGTCAGTTTATTTTCGACCTATGAGTTTGAATGTCCCTCTGGTATCTTTAGCCTATCTTTTTCTCCTCTAAGTATGCGTTTTTTTGCCATGTCTCCTTGGTATCTTTCGCCATTTTTATTTACTCTTGGTCATTTAAAAAAATCTTAGATTATGCAGTAATACCAATTGAAGAGTATTTATATTTATCATGCATTGACCAATGTGAAAAACGAACAACTGTTTCAGTATGAAATTAATTTTCTTTTTTACAAGACTACTACCATCTAAATATGCCGACTGCAGCAGATTTGTTGAATGAATGAAAAAGAGATAACCATTAACGTTCAGGATAAAATTCAAATATAACGGATCATGCCATGAGAAAATTGCGAGTTATTATCTAGAAGTATATTGTTAGGGTCATTATTTTAAATAACCTTAATGTGTTTTTTTTTCAAATTGACAGGAAAAAGAGACGAAAACTGTTTTTCAGTTCCACTTTACTGCCTGGCCCGACAAAGATGTTCCAAAATATGCATCATCCTTGGTTCACTTCCGACACAAAGTCAATACCACAAGAACTGTAGCAAAAGGGCCTATGGTGGTTCATTGCAGGTTAACATTTTAAATTGCTTATTTTTCGCTACATAATACAGGATTAGGTATTAAGTATTGATTACCTACAATTTTGGCGATTTTCAGGAAAACAGCGATAAACAAATTATCAATTGTCTCTTTGGTCGGGTTGTTGTCTCTTTGACACATTCCCGATTTTTATTATTAGTTTCATTTCAAACTCGTTTTGAGAAGTAATTTTAGTGTTTGAAGATAACAACAATTTTTTTAATCTTTCTATTTCAGTGCAGGGGTAGGTCGTACTGGTACATACATTGCATTGGATTATATAGTACATGAAGCTAAAGAGAGAGACTATGTTGAAGTATTCCGAAGTGTTGAAATATTAAGAAATCAGAGAGTGAATATGGTACAAACAGCGGTTAGTAATTTGGAATAAAACAACATAAAATAATATAATAAAATTGATAATAAAGTAAACAGTATGTTATCAAACTTCAAAATATTAAAAATAATATTACCTTCTGTTCAAGTAAAAAGTGACAGCAAGACGAAAATGGTTATTTCCAATTGGTTGATTTCTCCAGAAGACATCTGATCGGTAACAAAATGTAGACTCCTTAGGAATGCGGACTATTGTTTTACATGTTTCATTGAACCCATCCGAACTTTTCCATTTCCTACAAGTGTTTCGTCCCAATTTTTTTTGTGTAGCAACGACAATGTTAATTTTAGTAGTAATCAGTAGACGCGCTTTTTTTAATGTAGAAACCGTTATGGGATAATGCAATCCAGTTTGTTTAAAACTGTCTTAAATGTTTCACTTCGGAAAATGTTTGGAATACATACCTAGATCAAACTGATCAATATACTTATAATTCTTGTTTTAATGTTTTGTTCACTGTAAATTACATGTCTAAAGAATTTTTTTTCTAAAATTATAGCATCAGTACTTGTTCTTGCATGAAGCTGTTCTTGAAGCCCTGATGTGCCCGAACTCAGGAATTCCTTGCAGGGATTTTTCAGATAATTATAAAGACCTGATGCGATTTGACAATAACAAGAAAAAGCACAAGCTGCAAGTAGAGTATGAGGTAAAACTACTTAAACCGAAAAAGCATGTATTACAAAGATAATTTATTGTAGAAAAAACTTTTAATGCTAAGTTTGCTAGTATTTTGCTTTTAGGTTCTCATATATTTAAAACCTATCTAGTTTATCATTCCTATACTAAATGTGCATGATCAGTTATAATTGATTATGACAAGTTAGTGCAAGTATGCATCACATTTAAATATATATTCCTTGTCAAATTCAGTCTTATTTAAATAAAAGTAAACCATCAAAATGTTACATTAAAAAAGTGCTTAATATAGTCGCATAAGATACAACCTATAAAGGACCGAGATAAAAATAATCTATGTTCTGTATTAACTTATTAAAGGTTGCTAATAGAGATTTACGGAAAGTCTCGGTACCGACTGTTGACATCGACTTTGACAGGTAAAATGTAAGGGGTCGTCTCAAATGGGAATTGTACGGCGCACTTGATTCAAAAGGTATTTAAGAGCAAATAAAACCAGTCTCCATGAACGGAGCGTACTATCGCTCCACCGACAAAAAGCAGCAAAATTTGAATTCACAGTTTCATTAACAGAACATTTCAATCGGAAGTATCGTCAAGTTCATACATATAATATATGAAGTCAGATAAGTACTTTGAATGATATTTTTTCTACATTATGATGTAGTGCACAAATAAAAAATATCCGGTTTTCTAAAAGAAATATATTCCTGTTCTACGGGTACGAAAATAAGAAAGTTTAGTTAACCATGTGGTGGGAGAAGCGAGAACAGATAATCAGTGCTGAAAAAAGTTAACCAATTAGAGTCTGTTGCGGACATTCTGGCAACCCAGGGAAATGCCTATCAAGTTTGGTTCGAATGGGCCAACAAGTGTTTGACGATTTTATATTTGTCGGAATAATCGGTCGCACTTTTGGCGGAGGATCATTCCAGAAACATTTCTTCCGTCTAACTTCAAACCTACATTTAGTAGATTTTGACGATAAGTCTACCGCTCAAAGTCTATGATGGCCATTTTGAAAATTGGATAGGGCTGTTAGACATAATTTTTGTAGTAAACTATGTAAAGAGCATTTCTATATGGGTCATTTAAAAGAATGACGAAATTGCAAAATTGAATAAAAGTTTCTAGTTTTAACCATCCTCCTGATGTTGTAGTTCCTGTTACTTAAACTATAGTAACAGGATATGCAGTAACACTATAGACAAATTTCCAACACGTAATTGCACATTTTACAAGTATAACATTGTTGTAATTTATAGATTTATTGGTAACAGTATAGAAATGACAGAAGGGTACGCACTTTGTATTTTTAATTAAGCTCTTTTCTCTACACTGAGATGTGAGAAACGTGCCGTGTACAATTTTAAGATTGCTTTGTGCTTTTTATATTATCACTGAATAATTCCATATTTAAAAGGAGAAATAATTAAATGGTTGATCTAGTATCGTTAACAGTAAAGTCATGCATTTTATGTACGCCGATTGAAATTATTTATTATAACAATGTTACAATAGAATAATAAAGAAACTGTGATTTTTCCTGCCCTTTTCCGGCGCGGGACGTTTGCGCTTTTTCATAGGACATTTGCGCTTTTTTTAATGGACATTTGCTCTTCAACTCATAGGACATTTGCGCTTTTTAAATATGGACATTTGCGCTTTTTGTATAGGACATTTGCGCTTTTACAATATTTTCGTTATGGTTAAAAGTTAAATAGTCATTCCATAGCACATTCGTGTTTAAAAGACATTTCATAGCACATATAGTAAGTAATATATACCTAAAATAAACATATAAAGACATCAAAGACAAGCATAGTTATCACAGGTCAGTTTTCGCTTGATATCTGAAGCTCAAGGAATGAAAAATTTTGCTCTTGTAATCTGTCCTGACTTGTATTTCGCCCGCATTTCAAATACATATTCTAGTCTCTATTTCTCAATTCTTGACTGAGATGCCTGTTCATCAATATAACGAATTTTAATGTAATTAAACGACTGTTGTTCAATGATAAAAATCCATCGTGACATATACATTTTTCCCCTTTACTTGTCTCTATAATTTTATACTCTATGCTTAAGACTGTGTCAATGTGAACTAACTAACGACAAATACAAGTTGAATTTATTTACGTAACTCATCAAAATTACAGATAGACGACTAAAGGTAAAAAGCGCAAATGTCCGGTCAATTTACTATAGGTGTATCAAAATTTAAAGCGCAAATGTCCATAATATTCCGAGCGCAAATGTCCTATCGTGTTACAGGTAAAAAAGCGCAAACGTCCTGTGCCCGATTTTTCGTTAGTTATTTTAAACATTCTAGTTTATTTTTGAAGATTTCAAGGCAATCAGATAACATGGAAAACAAAATCAAAATTTGTTAACCTGACACTGTACGCACATTAATTACGCAAACATCTGACCTAAAAATACCTTAATCACATAAAAATAGATCTTAATCGTGTTTATTATTGATTTAAAGAATCATAAAAGCTACATTCTTTCATTTAAACACTTAAAAACGCGTTTTTCATTAACCAAAAACAATTTAGCATAGGTGTACTCAAAATACGATATTTTTTCGAAAATGATCCATTTACAAAGTTTGGTTCAAATACTTTTTTAAGCCTGTAAAACAACCGGTCAACGACGGATGCTAAGTGGTCATGACAATAGTTCACATTTACCTTTGGCCCAAGTGAGCTAACAAGAAGGCGGGTTAAGAGTTGTGAAATTTTATATGACAGTTTATTGTTTCATTCTAAAAGCTATTTACAACTTTCACCTTTAAATGCTAAAAGTTTAGTACATTTTTTTTATTTTGAGACGATCCCCTTAATTTTTCCTGTCAGAGTAAGTGTAAACAGTCGGTACCGAGACTTTCCGTAAATCTCTATTATAATCAGGTATGACAGGACAAAGAAGACTAAACAATTTTGATGTTAGAAAAGAGTTTATCTTCCCCTTATCAAAAAATATCATTTATGTTATAGCTAATGAATTCTATATCAAGTCGACATGACGAAGAAGCTTTCAGTAAGGGGAAATATGAAGAAAACAGAGGAAAGAACAGATATAGCAATATTATTCCAGGTGCAACATAACACATTTTAATATTACAACATAAGAAGTTATTTCGTTATGATACATGTAACGTACTTAAACCTGCTTGCGACTTTATTTGGTAATGCACACACTATAATATTTAAAAGTAAAAATGCATTGACATTAAACCTATTTGTATTAGTATTTCTTTTTTTTAGATAAAAGATGCTTATTAACAATTTTACATAGCCATCGAAACGTATACATTATTAACTTTAAATGAATCATAAGATTATATAAGTTCATGAAACTGAAAATCGAGCCTAATAAACAACGTGACGAGTTAGCTTATTTTCTGATTTGCTAATGAAGAAAGTTAAGATAGAACACATCGAGTGTCATCGATTCAAAGAATAAATGTTAATATTGGCCTGTTATATTTTATAGTTGGATCAGAGATGCCACTGTTATCGACAGCTGTAGATGGACGTAATGAGTATATAAATGCAGTGTTTTTACCTGTAAGTATTTCTTGTTAATATAGAAATTAGAAAGACTCTGATAAGATTATACTATTGTTTCCGGATTAAACAAATAAAACAAAATTTACGAATATCCCTTTAATCCTTTTAAAAAATTATTCAATATTTAGGTTGGCGCCATTTTGTAGCAAAGTGATCACATTAATTCCCCAAAAAATATTAAAGGACACCGTAGTAAAAAGTGTGCAAAACAACATCAATATTAAAAAAGTACACATTAAATACAACTATCAATTTATATTTCGGATTATCAAATACACGATATATATAAAGAATAAAGTATGCTCAGATTGTATTATTGCACTTTTTTGTAAACGAATTCTGCAATAATTCCTCTGTACGACATTTTAGCGATATATTTTCTTAGTTGTATACATATTTTTCAATAAAAATATTTTTTCGTCTGACATTCGACCACGGTTTGGTAGAAATTTACCCTCAACATATAGATCCGACTCTTTTGCTTCGAAATCAAACTGTTGAAACTAAGGCAATACCACCTACATATTTTGTAGCGGCATTTACCACTAGAACAAAAAGGTGTAAATAATTACTTCTATCTGACCAGATCGGTTTGTAAACTGACTAGGGCTTAGCTGTCATAGCTTTAATTGTAGATTCATTAGTGCTAAAAAGTAAGAAACAATCATTTTAACGAAAGCTTACAGTTATATGATACTTAAGAAATAATTCCTGGAAGCCATAGATTTGTTGGACATTTACACATGACATGGGCCGTGATATTAACGGATATCACGGCCCAGGCCATGTGTAAATGTCCAACAAATCAATGGCTTCCATGAATTATTTCGATTCTAATAGGACAAATACGGTAATTTGAAAACTGAAGCGAAGGGTAGATTGCCGTGTTATGGCTGTTCTATTTTACCCCTGTAAGATAAAAGCTACAAATTTCAAATAAATCTAAGTTTCTTAAATAAGCACTAGAAAAAAATGTTTTCAAGTCTCATAATTCTTAACCCAAACAATTTTTTTTTCGTTGGCTGCTATTTACTGTCAAATCCAGAGTTGACATGTCGTATCGTCAGATCATATGTTTTCGTACGTCGTATGAATTCGTACTATGCACGCTTTTTCAATGGAAATTGTGACGTCACAATGCATACTAAATAGCAAGAAAACCTATAATACGAATAGAATGTACTGCTATTTAACTATTGTCTTCCCGTTCTCTAATTCGCCGATAGGGTTTCCGTATACAGTGACCATACCTACGATTCCTCTCGTTAATATTTAGGCAACCGCATAGCGAGGGAAAAACCGTGATGAAGGAACATGTCAACAAACGTGAAAGTAAGATAGTGTTAATTGATTCTAAAAGGAAAACTTAATGCACCAAATGATTTATCAACTGTTATGACAAAGTTTAGATCACAAATGAAAACGCGTGAAAATTATATAAAAATAATCAAACATCGCTGTATTGCATGTCTATTACTTCACTTATTTTTCTCGTACTCCATGGTTCTGTGTTAATTATTTAATAAGTTCAAGATAGGCAAACTTCGGCAATAAAACCAGAAATTCAATTAGAACGCAAATTTTCACTTTAAGAAATATTTTTGTCGATTATGCGTTATGGATTCGTAATAAACGTAAAACAAAATCGTGCTTAAAGAACTTAGCTTAGTATATATATGATATGCATCAATTGAATAAAATTTCAAGAAACTGAGTAAAATAGGTGCCGATTTAAATCTTAATTAATCTGCATAAAAAATATTTTCCTATGATGTTGTCCTATTTATTGATTCCTAGGTGGTTTTTCGTTTGGAAAAAACGGGAATTTGAAACAATTACTAAGCTGACAGAGCTATTAATTACAGTGGAGATCACTTCTAACCTCTCATTAGAACTGTCAGAATAATCTGTCATAGAACTGTTCTAAACAGTCCTAGAACAGTTCTACCTAGAACAGTTCTAGCCTAGAACTGTTCTAAGTAGAACTGTCAGAATCAGTTCTAGGGTAGAACTGTCTAAAACTGTTCTAGGTAGCACTGTCCAAATCAGTTCTAGTCGTAGAACTGTCAGCAGAACTGACCAAATCAGTACTAACCGTAGAACTGTCAGCAGAACTAACTAAATCAGTTCTAACCGTAGAACTGTCAGAATTGTAGAACAGTTCTGAATGACGTCATTACAGTTAGAGAAATGTTAAAACAGTGCTGTGATGAGAATTTTTTAATATATATTATATTCTTTTGACTTATTTATATTTAAGACAAAGAGTTCTTAAAACTGTTCTATGGATAGAACTGACTAAATCAATTCTAGCCGTAGAACTGACCAAATCAGTTCTAATCGTAGAACTGTTCTAGTCGTAGAACTGTTCTAGCCGTAGAACTGTTCTAGTCGTAGAACTGTCTAAAACTGTTCTAGGGTAGAACTGTCAGAATCAGTTCTAGGTAGAACTGTCTAAATCAGTTCTAGGTAGAACTGACCAAATCAGTTCTAGGTTAGAACTGTTCTAGCTAGAACTGTCTAAAAGGTGTCAGGATGACAGTTCTACATACTGTCCTAGAACAGTTCTCCTGACAGATTCTGACAGACTTGATGAGAGGTTAGAAGTGATCTCCACTGTACCAACAGCATCGGTACGGTCAGAAGTACAAATTAATACGTCGAACAAAAAAAATATAACATTGATTTGTAATCTTTTTTATTAACGATTCTATGCTCTTTATTTGCTTTAAAGCTAAACATATGGAAAATGTATAGCAAAATCCAAAGTATTTCCCCTTTTACTCTTATATTTGACAATAATGGTCCTAATATATACGGGATACCTGGATGCAGTGCTAGCAATGATTTTCCTAAAACAAGTTTAAAATAAAGGTATTAGGTGATACTGAATGAACATAAATATTCGAGATAAGTTTATAAAGTTCCTCGACTCTATAGCTACCTAGAAAAATAAAGATTTCTAATGTATCTGTACTTATTGCATAGTACTCATTTAAGCATAGTAGCGCAACGTTTGTAGCCTGTTTATATAGACAAGTGCTTTTTGAGTGTTTTTGTTTCAAAATGCCAATTGTTCCAGATGTTAACAACCGATATGACGACACTAGATACTTATTTTTTTTACGTGCAAATGTGCGCCAAATTTAAGAGTTAATTCGCTAAACGGATACACAGGCCTACAGAAGGGGTCATAAACCTAAAAGTATTTATTGTTTAAATATTAAAAACTTGAACGTTAAAAAACCTATGTAAACAATATAAACACAATGTCAATGTGTATTTTTAATCATTTCAGGGATACAGAAACAATCAAACATTTATTGTGACACAAATGCCTTTGGAGACGACCGTTGTTGACTTGTGGAGACTTATATATGACTATGAAATTCCAACTATTGTTATGCTTAACAAAGATATACAGACAGGAGTATGTTGTTTTATACTCTTTTACCTTTTAAAAAGATAAGGATGCTTGATAATATAATATTTTTTTCTTTCAAGTAAAAAAAAAAGTGAACATCTACTTTATTTTGATATTTTTAACTACTGGTTCGAGCGTCACTGACGAGTCTATTGTGTACGAAACTCACGTCTAGCGTACAAAATTATAATCCTGGTATTTATGATGGGTCTATTTACAAACATGGCCTTCAACAATTGACAAATTACCGTTTCTTTGGGTAAGTCCCGAAAATATGACATCTGAAAAAAAACCAAAAAGGAAAACAAACAACATTAACGCAATAACAATAGAAAAAGAGAAGATAAAATCAACAGCATGTTCTATTTCGTCTCTAGGCTTTGTCATTAGGCGTACCGAGTTATAAGTCTGGTATCTTTGATAAGTTTTTTGTAAAATGTATATCAATATAAAGTGCAGGTAATCATGTTTCCGAGAACTGTGATATTATACTAAACTGGAACAGTGGTTTAAAAAACATTACTATAATGAATATTTTACGGATTTGTTTTTCTCAAAACTGCATTACATATAAAATTGAAAAGGTGAATAATATTAGTTCAAACATTTATTCAATTGTGGTGTTATTTTGAGATTTTGATTACTTGCAGCAAAAATGTCATTTAAAAATAAATAATACTAAGTGTTGTGATTTATTAAAATCAGAAATCAACAAATGTGTACTGGCCAGCAGGTGATGGACAAGTGACATTTGGTCCATTTAACATAACAAGAACAAATACAAGTAATGAATACATGTATACATGTTTGGATCTAACATGCAAATACAAGAACCAGGTACGGCCAATTTAGCATCATATAAAGATGAAAAACAAGTAATACTATATTTATTATATTAAGAAGGTTTATTTACATCATATAATTGTTTAAAATTTGCGATTTAAGTGATATTTCTTGTTATTGTACGTGATTTAAAACTATTTCGACAGGGGTATTTACACACAAACAACAATTCATTTGTTGTACCCCTATTTTTGACATTTTTACCTATTATGTCTGTTTGTTTTGTTCATACATTTTTGTCAATATAATAAAATTCTACGTGACTGTCATAAAAATGAGAGGTTTAGCTAGCTATAAAACCATGTAACATCCACCATTTCCTACATAAGGAAATGTATGTATCAAGTCAGGAATATGACTGTTTTTTGCGTTGATTTGGTGTGTTTGAGCTTTTGATTTTGGCATTTGAAATGTGACTTTCCGATTTGAATTTTCCTTGGTTTCGGTATTTTTGTTGTTTTACATTTTAAATCATCAATATTTGTTCATCTTATTAAGAATTTTACATCCTAATAATACAATTTGTATTTCCTTTTCTGAACGTTAATTTCAGTTAAAGTCAGTTCACTGATTGCGGGAAATTTTATCGCCATTTAACACTGTCGCAACGAATTCCATCTCTTTTTTGACAAACAATGTCCGTTAATATTTAATCAAATTGAAATATGCACAATGGCAACGTATACACATATAACATATGGCAGAAAGGAGCGAGTGTATCCATGTAAAAATGGTTTAACAAAACCTAATTTCGAACTTCGCAACATGTGACGAGGGTTGTTTGTTGTCACCTGACTTTGTTTACATGTATATATTCTCGAAGTAGTCAATGTAAGTGGTTTGTGTGTTCTATTGTACTGTCAAATTTATATGTTAATTTAGGTTTTCTAATTGAAACAATTAAAATGGATTATGAAAGTTTAACGGAAATCAAGTTACACACTTGTATTGAAAAGTTAGATGCTGACGATGTTGCTAAATACTAAATGACTGATCTATTTGTTTGGTCATGACCAAAAATACTTCTGTCATTTAATGACGAAGTCGACTTTTTGATATATTACAGGGTTTGTACTTACATTTGCAATACGATGGGTGCCACAGAACAGGATCGGCTTACCCTTTTTGAGCACCTGAGATCAATCCAGTTTTTTGGTTGGGTTTATGTTCATCGTTCTTTAATTTTTTTTATTGTGTTTTGTATACTGTTAAATTTTTTTTAATGATTTGTCTGTTCCTGTCATTGTCAGCTTATTTTCGACTTATGCGATTGAATATTTATTTGGTATATCTCGTATCCCTTTTCACTCCTTTAATTGGGGAAACTTATAGTGGTTGTTGTTCGTTTATGACTGTTATGTTTGTTTTTCGTAAAATGTTATGTTATAAATTAGGCCGTTAGCTTTCTCAATTGAATTGTTTCATAGTTTTCATGTCGGGCCTTTTATAGCCGAATATACGGTATGGCTTTCCTCATTGTTGAAGACCGTATTTTAGCCTATAACTTCTAATATCCACTTCATTTGAACTTTGGTGGATGGTTGTCTCATTGGCAATCATATCACATCTCCTTATTGTTATACTTGTTTATAATTTTTAAAGTTATTTTTCCTTTGTCTGTAGTTTTTGTTATTGTCCGCATTTTGAAAACCAGTTGAAGGGTGGATTTGTTTTCTTATATTTACAATTATTTTGAAAAAAAATATAAATATCTCATAAACATACGTCAAATGCTATTAAGAAATTAACCTGTCAGTTAATCGAGCACATTTTATTTACTTTTGGCCTTCCATAAATGGTTCGCCAGAGGGAGTTGAAACCTTAGTTTAAGATCAATAACGTGCTAAAGTCACTGAAAATAAACAGACAAAATTAATCAATTATACCATGGCAGTGAAATGAAGTACTTCCTACGGGTCGAATGGTACCGTGGAGAACTTATAGTCAAACTTTTGATTATAACGTTACTAAAATTACCACCCTAAATCATGGCATTAATGTTTTTTTGATAAAATTCATAAAATATGAAAGGATTGGAAATTTTGTGCAATTTGCACTTGAATGGACGAAACAATGGTTCTTATAATATCTACTCATTCTTTCGTCTTTGAGTATATAACTCACCTTGAAAAAACACCTCTGTAATATACATATAATAAAATATTTTCAGGTGAGGCAGGTGAAATTATTCAAAGCGAAGTTTTGGGAAGAAAACATGATAGTTCCTGGATCTGCAAATGACATGTTGTCATTCCTATCTGGAATCGAAGATGAACATAGCAATAACAGAGGGTGTGGACCTGTCCTCGTTCACTGTTTGTACGTAATAATATTCAATATATAGAAGTGAGAATGAGTGAAGTAAAATTGAGAATGGAAATGGGGAATGTGTCAAAGAGACAACAACCCGACCATAGAACAGACAACAGCAGAAGGTCACCACCAGGTCTTCAATGCAGCGAGAAATTCCCGCACACGGAGGCGTCCGTCAGCTGGCCCTTAAACAAATATATATACTAGTTCAGTGATAATGAACGCCATACTAAACTCCAAATTGTACACAAGAAACTAAAATTAAAAATAATACAAGACTAACAAAGGCTAGAGGCTCCTGACTTGGGACAGGCGCATAAATGCGGCGGGGTTAAACATGTTTATGAGATCTCAACCCTCCCCCTATACCTCTAGCCAATGTAGAAAAGTAAACGCATAACAATACGCACATTAAAATTCAGTTCAAGAGAAGTCAGAGTCTGATGTCAGAAGATGTAACCAAAGAAAATAAACAAAATGACAATAATACATAAATAACAACAAACTACTAGCAGTTAACTGACATGCCAGCTCCAGACTTCAATTAAACTGATTGAAAGATTATGTCTTCATCATATGAATATCAGGCACAATCCTTCCCGTTAGGGGTTTAGTATCATACCATCATAACATATATGAGAAGAACATAACCCGTGTCATGCCAACAACTGGTTTTTAAATAAATGTGTTTAGTGCCGATGCAAAGACCCTATAAGTGAATCAATTTTAACGCCAAAATATGCAATCTTTAATGACCTGACAACAGTATCGTAACTATATCCCTTCTTAATAAGTCTATTTAAAGGTTTTGTTAGCTTCAGAGGTGAATACTGACATTTTTGTGCTTTATAAAGAATATTTCCATAAAAAATTGGATGTGAAATACCTGAACGTGTAAGAAGTCTGCATGTTGAGCTATATTTACGAATGATGTCCTTATACCGATGATAAAATTTAGTAAATGTTTTGACTAGTTTGTGATATCGAAAACCCTGGTGTAATAATTTTTCAGTAATACATAAATTTCTCTCGTTAAAATCTAAAACATTGTTACATACACGAGCGAATCGTACAAGTTGAGATATATAAACACCGTAAGATGGTGACAAGGGAACGTCACCATCTAAAAATGGATAATTAACGATAGGAAATGAAAAATCATCTCTTTTATCATATATTTTAGTATTAAGCTTTCCGTTAATGATATAGATATCAAGATCGAGGAAAGGGCAGTGGTCATTGTTAGTATTAGCTTTATTTAAAGTAAGTTCAACAGGATAAATTTCTTTAGTATACATACTGAAGTCGTCATTATTGAGAGCCAAAATATCATCCAAATATCTAAAAGTATTATTAAATTTGTGTATCAGATGTTGTTTCGATGGGTCTTTGCTGATTTTTGTCATAAATTGTAACTCATGGCAATACAAAAAAAGGTCCGCAATTATCGGTGCACAGTTAGTCCCCATTGGAATTCCGATAACCTGACGATATACGGAATCTCCAAAGCGAACAAAAATGTTATCTAGTAAAAATTCAAGGGCATATATAGTATCAAAGCATGTCCAATTGACATAGTTTTTTTGTTTATTGCTACTAAAAAATGACCTAAAAGAGTTTGAACATATATATTCATATTCTGACTTTTTAAATGCCCATTTAATTAGGTGTGTGAATTTTTTCTTAATGAGAATGTGAGGCAATGTGGTATATAGGGTAGAAAAATCAAAACTTTGAACAGATTCAAAATCACCAATATATGCATGTAATTTATCAAGTACTTCCAACGAGTTCTTGACACTCCAAAAGTAATTAATTCCACTATTTTCGAAGGCCTTATTTGAACAATTGTAAAGTGACTGTTAAAATGCACAGTGGGAAAATATTGAAAGTAATTCTGAAATGTCATGGTTAAATTTATGACTTTTTAAACATTGCAAGAAACAAAATTATTCTTGCAACATTATTCTGAAACCTTTAATGTTTTTATAAACCTACAAAATTGTCAAATAATTTGGCTTACAGATATCAGAAAACAGAATACATTTTGGACAAAATTCAGATTTTATTTATAAAACCATCGAGTATCTCCTTGCAATATTTTTTGCGCGTTAGTGTTAGTTGTATGGTCCCAAGAATAACTGATAAGCAAGTTGATAAGAAAAATCAGCTATATTCACTAAGGGACGATTACCCTGGGGACGAATTGATATGAGGACATTATAATACGCAAGGTAAGTTTCCTTCCCTACGAATTCAATGTTTCCTAACATCTAGTCAATAAACTAGTCAGCTGGCAAATTCAATGTATCCCGAAATAAACAGACAATCTGTCACTATCTAAGTACTAAATAAATACAGATAATTCAGACATTTTGAATTAAAATATGGTCAACAGTGCCATATCCTTTTTTAAAACCTGCTTGTCCTTCACATAACAAGCCCATACTTTCCAAATAATTAAACCATTATCGTGACATCAGCCTATTCATTTAACGTGGATTCTTTTTTCTAGAACCAACGCTTCCTAAATCTGTCGCTGAAATGGACTCACCAAAGTATATTCAATTGTTTCCTTTGTGTGCCTAATTTCATTAAGTTTGAATTGGGTAATTTACTGATTTATGTTCATTTATGGAATAAATATATGTAAGAGAATGATAATCCCTTTCTTCATGATTAAGAACGAGCGTTATCGATTACTTATCATGATGAAAGGGATTATCATTCTCTTACAAACTTAGAATATTGTAAAGTGCTCAAGACTCAAATGATTTCTTGATTGGTTTTATTCAAGAATTTGTTTCATTGCAGTGAAATGTTTATAATTAATGGATGACTTCCCTTTTAGGCATTTCATTTATGTATTGGTCTTAGTTTTGACTTACTTTTAATTTGGGAAATTTTAATAAATTGTGTTTTAGACATAAGATGACACAACGTTACAATGAAATTGCAGAAATTATACATAAGTTTCCTAATTGTGAGTATGAGTGTAAATTATGTAATAATTTAGTGAGGAATTATCTTTTTGTTCATTTACAGTTCCATTTAATAAATTCAAAATCAGAGTTACAACTAATTTGTATTCTACAGCCAATTATATTCAAGCTCTTTACATTAAATACTTCTTAATTAACTAAAATCTAAATTTTGGAAGAAATTGCTTTTTATAGGAAATTCAAAAGTAAATTCAATGTCCAGTGTGTACCGGTATTTCGGAAATGACTATTCTTACTAACTGCGAATACAGTTATCTGAGTTTTGATAAGCGTAATACATGTAACTAAAGATTTAGGTTATATTTGATTTGATTTCTTTTTCATTTTTCTTCTTGATATTGCTTATTTTTTTGTAATTTGAAAGTTCTAAATATTCACATGATAACATAAACGGTATCATTTGTACTGCACAAGTAAACTTCAAACTTATTTTGATCATTGTTGTTTGTTTCAAAATTCAACTTTCAATCAATAATCCTAATAAATGTGCTTCAGGCAGTTGTAACTCATTTATAGAAATTCTTTGTTTTGAACTGTAAATAGGCCTAAACAAAAAAGGATAATCCCTTACTAAGAACATGATTTACATTCATTCTTCACAATTAAGGAACACCAAATTCTACACTTTCATTGGTCGAGAGCTCATTGCTATATTCTAAATTTAAAAACTTACCTTTAATTTTTGTAATTTTTATATGCCTTCACTGGAAATTGAACCCCTCCTCGAAATCTGTTATGTGTTACTGACATCAACACTTCGACGAAACCTCTCGGCTATCAATTGGTTACAATTTAAAAGTCTATTATATTTATACAAATGAACATATGATACATATCGGTACAACGGACACACAGGGCTTGTACCTATATATAAGTCTAAAGATTTGTACAACGGTACTAATATAAGATGGTAATATACGAAGATGATGTTATAAAATCGTGTTGACAAATATATCGGCTTAACTAATAACCTGCGTCAGTGTCAATAATGTATTGATTCATCCCAAATCTTGAACATCATAATATAGAACAAAACTCAATAATCAATAGACGTGACTGTGTATATATACATCCCAAAATGAGTGTAAAATAAAACTGCTAATATTTCTTATTGATGCCGTTTGGATGATGTACATTCAAACGGCATCAATAAGAAATACTAGCAGTTTAATTTTACACCCATTTTGGGATGTACATTTAATTTGTCCATTTTTGTTTTATAAATATAGTATGATTTCATCTGTTTTACTACATATCTTTGTACATGTTTATTCGCAAATCCCTATGCAAGTAAATCGTGATGTGCCTAGAATAAGGCTTCTTGCTAGAAATCTGGTTACATACTTATTATATATACTTAGAAACAAGTTCGAATATGTCATAATTTGTAAATTACGAATAATATTTAGATGCCTGATAATTCAAAGACAGACGTGTTATATTATATTTGTATTTCTCTAACCAATTAATTGTGAACTTAGGTTTATTAGTGCATCGTTGAACAGGGATAACATAGTTATTTAAACTCACTTACAATACCTTCTAATTAAGAAAAGGTTTTTAATTTTGAAAATACATCAGCACAATAGTTTAAGTTAGAGATAAAATAATAAGCGTTGATTCATGAAAAACAAACCATTCGCCCTCCGCTTATTCATTGTATCTATAAGACTTAAACAATCTATTATTCAAAATACAGGTAAATAATTTGCCTTAACACTATATTGTTATACTTCGATAATTGTCAACATTTGCACGATCACCTTTCTTTTTATAAAAAGGGGCAGATGAAACCCTTTGACCAAGAGTCTGGAATAATACCACTATCAAATACAATATTAAATTTTTCAACAAAGACAGGCATAAGTTTATTAGCAGCATGTTTCAAAAATTCATTAAATATCATATCATCACTACATGCTTTATATTTTTTTATTACGATTTAGTTGCATAAGCAATTTCTTTTTCACACATTGACTGATTTATAACAGTATTGTACTCACTAATATTTTCAGGTAAAATAAACAGCAACATAATTTTTAACAGTATTCAGATTCTTAAAATGGTTAAAATACATCATGAGCAACCTTCTGTGTAGTATTTTTACCTTTATCACAACCTTTATTCAACAATTGCCAATACGACTTAGGATCAGTGGTACGCAAACCACGTAGTTTGTTAACAAATGCCGTTTGATACTCATTAAATTGCCTTTTCAAAGTATTTTCATACTCTTTGCTTTTACATACCATATCGTTATAATTAATTGATAAACGAACTCAATAAAAATGCTTCCTTGAAATGTGATATTCTTTGCGTTTTACATATTAATCACTATTAAAATACCTTTTACAACCTAAATTCTGACGTTTTAAAACTTTTGTCTGTGCATTGCTATAATTGAATGTAATTCACGAGTTCATCTATGCTGTTGTCGTCTAATTTGTCCGTGAAATCAGGAGCCCGGTCGCTGGCCCATCATGGTTAGACAATAGATTCACCTTCACAGGCGATTACAATATCAGAGTCATTAGAAGTGTCTAAATCATTTGAAACATTTAAATTATTTATACTTGCTATATCTTAACACAATTGTAAACAAATATAATTATGAACATCACTTAGTATTGGATCAAATGATAAATCATTGAAGTCAGTTACTGCTATAAATTAATTAGTGATACAATTGCATTGTCAATAACTGAAATAATACATGTTGAATGACCAATACCTTCTTTGCTACCCACTCTACAATTTTCAAAGAAAAGTTCTAAACATCTAAATAGTTCTAATAGTCTTTTGCCATATTTGTCATCGTTTATCTTGTGAATCTCTTACAACTGAAATTCCACATTCTTCTAACATGTGCATATTATTGAGGAAAGCGTAATCAGAATTAGGAACATTGCAATAATCAAGAATATTATTATCAAGTACAACATATTCATTAACATCACTTTGAGGTGCCCTTACATCACCAATCAAACAGATTTGTAGCTCTGTATCAGTAACAACATGTTCGATTTCACTTAACATATCAACATCACTGTATAAACTATTCTCAGGGAGAATATACACAACCTCAAATAGTGTTGCTTAAACAACAGTTTATCTTCAACTGTAAACCACAAAACACAATGACCCCAACAAGTATAAGGGTCACCAACATTAACATATTTACATAAATTTTTCCTTACAAACAACTTTCAGACTAGACCACACACATTTGAAGCTAAACCTTAAATTTCAATAAATTGCAAAACATTTTTAAATCTTTATTTATATTAAGGTAGCTGGGGTGTCTTCCTCCATCTTAAGTTATAAATAGCAGATATCAATTGGTCCAGATCTTTAATGAAATGTGCAAATTTTGAGATTTGTATGTGATTCATGTGTAAGACTTTTCATGGTAATATAGCAAATTGTATGTTTTATCATATTTTTTAACTGTATTTTACTAAAAACAGAATATTTTTGATTGATTCATATTTTTTTCTGCCATACAAGGGGAGATAACTCAGATAAAGTAACTTTTACAATAGAATGTGTTGTGAATTTACCTATTTTATTATGAAGCAAGAGTCCGGTGACCATTTTTTCTTTTTCTTATTTGAAAGCATATCATTAGAGCTATCTCCTCATATTTTATCTTAAAATTCTATGGTGTAGTTTTCTTTTTATCCCACAAAATTGGGTTTTCCGTACATAATCTATACAAAATCTGACAATTTTGCACAACCTGTAGCGTGAAAAAAGACCGGTGACCCACACTTGTTATTATATTTTTGAAAAAAGCATGATATAAACTACATTTTGACAAATAATTAAAAAATTCTATGGATTTTAATTTTCCTGAGATACACACGGTATGCTTTCTACACAGACACTTCTCAAATATTTCCTCCACGCACTTTCCAGGACTTCCTATACATTTGTAAGAGTTATCTCACATACCTTAGGTCTACCCTTTAAAAAGGAGAAAATGTGCTATACAGTGATCTTTAAATTCCTTCAAACAAATTATAGCGTTTTATTTGTCTATAAAGATGTTCGCTTCTATTGTTTTTGAATTTTTGTCAAATATTCGGAATCCTCTAGTTTTATCCATGCAGTGCTAATAAACTTTTTGCCCGCCTACCCTTACTTTTCTTTTCGTAGTTTATTTCACATAGTTTAAAAAACCCTATTTGAAAATCTTATAAAATCCTTGTCATTTTTTCATATTTTTTGGAAGAAAAAAAAGGTGCCAATGTTAAATGTCTGAAAAATCCAGAGAGAATCATTTCCCAACTATTTTCAATGTCTTTTATCTCGGAAACAAGGTCACGGACCCTTAACATTTTTATCTGTTTTTTAGCTCCAATATTTATATACTATCAATTAATAACAGTCTTTTAAAAAGCTTGCTTTTATGAAACAGAGTAGCAAACATCCTTTTTTATACATTACCTTAGATTTCATTTTCTGATATAAACTGATTTATATTTCATAAGAAATGGTTGTGACAAAAGTGGTCTATACTGTGTGTTGGCAACAGTAATAGAACGACTGAGAATAGAACAAGATGTGGACATACAACACATCATCAAACAAATGAGGAATAGAAGACCTCAGATCATTCCAAACTACGTAAGTATAAATAACATATAATATTAAGTTAGCTTATTTCATAGAAACATATCATCCTTATTTGTTCAAAAAAAATAACACATTAAATCAAATATTAATTGTCATTTGGATCAATTTATACTTTAAACATAATAATGTATGCAAAGTACCAAATTTGACCAAAGAAAATGAATTTAAAAAAAAATAGTTCAAATTGCAACTCGCAGTTTTATCCTTTTTTGTTCTTTTTGCTTTTACGACGGAAGTTATCTACGTTATTTGTTTAGGTTTAAAACATTTCTTTTGAATAGTCGTTGCTACCAAGGCGGCTTTTTATTCGCAACCAGCAATACAAACCTTGGAATCAACTAAAACATAACATTGATTTTTGATTTCATGTATCCGTAGTTCACACTTTTGTTGCGAAATTATTGATTTAGGACATTTAGAAAAGGTAAAACCTTTGCTAAATTTATAGACTTTACATGTATATCGTTAGAACAATGTGCAACATCCTGATGTAATTATTTCATAGTTTAAGGTTTACAATTTTGAGGAAAATCAAATGTAATAATAGGTCGCAGAAAATACACAACATATGAGCAACAGAAAAAGTGAATCAGCCAAATAATTGTCTAACAAACACATATAATAAAATAAATATTGAGCAAACCAAACCTCCGAGTGTGAACTCAAAATGTTCATGTGAGATCAACTGTTACTGTATGCTACATGAATAGTTAACTAAAAATTCCAAACGTTTATTTTGTTAACACAAGTACTTCCTTTACAAAAATAAAAATAGTTAGATTTATTTGCAAAGTAGAGGTTGAAAATGCCATAGGGATATTCAAACACATAATAAGTCGATGACACGTTGATAACATCATAGCATTTTTATCAGTTATATCCAAATAAATTCAGAAACTAAAATATTGTTTCTTTTTAAAGATTGAGTTGTTATTTTAACGGTTTCTGAGCAATATATGATTAAGGATACATGTTGACATGATGTTGAAGTTAAAGATACTTAAGCAATTAAAAAAACAAATATGAATTATACTTTTAATTCCGTGAGTTCGTAGCGTATTTCTGGATTTACCTTTTATCAGGAACTCTCAAACCCAAATATTTGAAAGCCGAGGATGTACAAGACCTAAACACGTTAAGGTATTCGTGACCAAAAAAAGACATTAAAATAGCCAAATTCCACTAAGGACAGCTTTGCCTTAGGGATTTGGAATCTTATTTTCTCCATATTTCCTTATTTTATCAACGGAAAATTAAAGGAAAGTTATTTAATAATAATGTCAGTACCGAAACACTGACAACTGAGTTGGTGATACCATTATTTAATTTATTGATTTTTAGCTTTTAAAATTTGAAATAGTAAGACTTTTAACATGGTACAATTTTAGTCGTCCAATTACTGTTTTGAAATAGGTATCATATTTATATTGGTGTATAGACTTAGTTGTAAGACCAAAACAAATGAATTTGACACAAAAGTGTGAATTTTTCTACAAAAATGAGTTATCAAATTATTAATTCTATCTTTATGAGGCTATATTTTTATTTGACTTTCATTTCTTATTCAGGAACAGTTTCAGTTCATATACGAAGCAGTTATAGAATACCTGAAGGAGTTTGAGACCTACTCAAATTTCCAGTGAATTTCAAACTTGTAGATCTTAGATCTTGCATAATATATATTCTTCTTTAATGTAAATATCTCCATTGGTGCAATGATATACTTTTAAAATTCATACTATTCTTTTCAATCAGTGAAATATAAATTCAGGGCATGCTTAAATAGTTCTTTTATCCATAGTTGTACTTAAACAAATAAAATTTTAATTTTGTTAGAAAGATTCCGTAGAGAAGGACGAGAACTAGTGACATTCGCATATGGTGTTAAGGTTCCGTTATTCATCGAATAGTTTAAAGAGGATGGCCATTTTTCCATGTACATATTTTTTTCTAATTGTCAAAATTGGACAGTTGTAAAACGTACGTTTCAACTCTGATTACGAGAGGCGAAAGATACCAAAGGGACATTCAAACTCATAAGTCAAAAATAAACTGGCAACGCCATGGCTAAAAAAGAAAAAAGAAAAGACCAACAGACAAACAACAGTACACAAAAAAACAACATAGAAAACTAAAGACTGAGCAACACGAACTCAATCAAAAACTTGGGGTGATCTCAGGTGCTCCGGAAGGGTAAGCAGATTCTGCTCCATACTTTGGACCCGTCGTGATCAATGAGTGAATTCCTTTTCGTATCCTGAATACAATACACCACACAAATGACAGTAATATTGCTCAAGGAATTTTATATTTGATAGGGAATTCTGTTATGTATTTGTGAATCTACAAATTAATATTCCACCAAAAGTTTTACATTGTATTAGACAGTCTTGTATTTTTAGCTGATCAATTGATTAGTTAAGTATTTAGTGTATCTTGTCAACAACTCACCAGGTGAACAACAGTCAACATTTTGTTCATAGGAATTATTTTGTAAAGCGCCGATACAATGGATATATATAAAAACTGCATGTGAATACTGTTTGCTGTTACATGTAGCCGCAACGTTTGATTTTATTATTTAATGTGTTAATACTGATATTCTTCTACATGTATGAGAAATAACCATTTACTTTTTTTTCAAATATCATTGGCTATTTCGCGTATTTTAAGAGAAAACTATAACATTGCCTTTTAAAACATGAAATTGTTGTTATTGAAATTCTTTAAATCATATTGCTCATTTCATCATATCTAGAATTTGATGAGAATAAATCGAGATGCGGATAAAATTATATTCCTTCCAAGTAATTTGTTGAAAAATTCATCCTGTAAAATTAGTTCTAGTATGCCCAATTTTGTTATTACGGATATATTTCTGAGTAATATTTACTTTTTATAGGTATACTTATAATTATTGGTAGTGCTTCCGTTAAGAGGACATTGTGGTAATGTGATTCAATGACTATATGATTATAATTATAATATTTTCGTTTTGAATGTTACACTCCTTGTATAGTGCACATTTGATAAGCGTTGGTTCGTAGAAAAAGACAACATTCAACCTGCTGACTAACTTTTCAAAGATACTAGGGTTGTGATGTGTTACGCCAGACGCGCTTTCTGTTTGTAAAAATCTCACCTGTGACGTTCGAGTAAAAAATCAAAAACGAAGTTGAATAGAATGGCAAACCAAAATTTTATCAATGTGTGCACGTTTCGAACCAGCGTTTCTCTAATTTGTCCTTTACGTGCAGAGTGTGTCCAAAGTAGAGCATTTTGAAGCTATATATTTCTCAATGCTTTGATGTTCATATTTGTTAAATCTGTATATACCTTGTCTTGTGTATCTGCAGGTAAAATACATTTTAAACATCATTTACAATGATTCATACGAGGTAGATGGCTTAAGGTTAGTAAAAGGGAGCCACCATTTTTTTCTTAAGGGGAGTGCAGCAATTTTTTTAGATTCCTTTTGATAAATGAAAAAGGAATAAACTGTTTGTACTAAGAATTAAAAAACGATGTTTTCGATATTGCGACGAAACAAATAAATTGATATGAAAAGCGAAAGGAGTGACAATATCATAATTAATTTCACATAACAACGTTACAAAATTACTCCCAATCTTATATTGATTTATCATCCTTAACGATTTATACATTTCATAGGAAAATCATATCCCATTTATATATTCTCCAGCTATCCGACATACAATTTGTGACAATCTTATTGAATGTTAACGATATTGGCTCATTCATCTATTTAGATAAAACGATCAGTACATTTTTAATAAAAGATTAACATGTATAAGCAACTGAAACATACATTTCAACACATTGTTATATAATTTAGATGCAATTGCACCCCATTAATATATTTGACATTCCAGCTGGGATTATACCTCCCAAGACTTTGCTTTTGAAAAATGAAAAAAAAAATGTTTGATTGTTTGTTACAGAGTTGCTTCGTCAATTTCAATTGAATTACGCATTATTTATTAGAAATGCAGTATTTAATTTATAATCATTTCGATTAAACAGAACATAATGAATGATGTTTGTGTAAATTCAGATGCTTTAAACAGTTAAACACAAATAACTTTCCTAAATCAGTAGTTCTTTAATTTTTTTGAAAATACAAATTTTGAACATTTTCGCATTTTGTAAAGGAAATGATTTTCTGATTGTGAAAATTCATGCTTTGAATCATATGAACTCTCAATTAAAATGTATACCATATATACATGTAGACCCTCAATAAACTCTTACTAGATCTTTTTCCATCTCATCAATTTTAATGTTGTTTTGTTTCACCTTTTAGTTGTAAGTTTAGTTGTTTTATATATTTTATTTATTATTTATGTAACTTTCGTTTTCAAAATAACTTCTTAATTAGTTACAAAAAACAAAAACTTGAGAAACCCAATTTCATATTGAAGAGAAAATCTTCTCAAGATCAACACATTTGAATATACATAAACATGTCTCTGCGACTGTCCTAAGCCAGGAGACTTGTTATTAAGTGTGTTTCGTTTAAGTAAGATATAAAAGGCCCCGCCATGACATAATGTGAAACAATTCAAAAAAAAAAAAAAACATCAGCCTGATTTATCACAAACCATATAACGCAAAATAGATATAAAAGACAGCAATCAACGACAACCACCGAATTACAAGCTGCATGCTTAGGAAATTGGCACATAAATAATGTGTGTTAAAAATGTGTTTGCTCTCAACCCTCCTCTAACCAGAAACAGTGGTGAAACAATACAACATAAGAATATACTGTAAAATTTGTTGAAAATATCCTGACTTAACAGATTGGCATGAAGCACACACTATATCTAACATATAGACGACAGACACAAAGAACATTTCTAAGAGCACTCACAGTATTTGAAATAAAGCCAATATCAACGCTTAAATAAACCATGTTCTCCCTGACTTAAGTCTTTTTTCCTTAAATGTAAACGTTTTCTTAGGCAGAGCGATTTAAAACTTGCCATTGTGTGTAGACACTTATATACAGCTGAAAACCATATGATACTTTACGTGACTTTTCAAATTATTGAAATGCTCTCTATCAATTAACAATCTTATTCCTTTTTCATTAAAGGAGAAAGACAGAAGAGTGATGTTAAAGTCATGTGAAACGAGTTTCTTGAAATTTTATTGTTAACGAAATAATTGAACCAATGCATGCATATATACTAAATTAAGTCCTGTATGTATGTTTCTTTTTTATGTTTATAACGAATATATAACGTATTACTGACAAATAATAACTCATTTCGTGATTGTTGATCGCAAGCTATTTAACTTTGATTTTCTGATTGTGAAAATTCATGTTTTGACCAACATGAATTCAATCATCGTTACAGCGCCTCAGTTTCAAAACTACTCACATTAACTTTGCTATAGATGAGGCATGCACACTAATGTCAGTGCCAGGTTATGACAGTTTTATTTTTTCCCCTGATTTAACACTTATACGATTCTATATGCTTAACTTCCATGTTTATGTCTGTAAAAAATGTGATATCAAAGGTGCAATTAAAAACCGATATCTCTTAGAAGGTGAGAAAACATCATGAGCACCTTAGTAATGAAATAAATACCCAGAAGAAAACAATTACACTAAACACAAAAACAAAACAAACTAACGATTGTACACTACTAAAGACCGGGGAATCACTCATGTGCTTCTGAAGTATCTGCAGTTCCTGTCCAGAAGGATGTCAACTTTATATACAGAAGGGACAATTTCTGCTAGACTAATGTTAATCATCTGAATATCCGATAACTTACAGACATACATAAGAAGATGTATTAGCGAATTTTGCCTAATCGTAACAAATATGACTAAATGTAAATTTTAAAATTTAAAATTTAAAATGATTTGTTTTTAATTATTGATAGACGCAACATATTGAAAAAATGCCTATGAAAAATCAGAAGAACTAAGCACGAGTGACATGAACCGAGCAAAATAAAACTTCAAATGTGAAAAAACAAGTGTTATGAACTGTTATTTATATATTAGTTGAATCGTTAATATCGTTATTGGCAAATTCAGATTTCTTTTCACTTGTGTAAGCACTTTTTTGTGAATAATAGGTTTCATTTTTAACAGCTATTTACCCATTTGCATATTGTTAAATTAATGTCAGAACTGATTGTTTCGTGTTTACATTTCAATTTTGGCAGTTTTGTGTTTTCGGTCTACTTTTTCGCTTGCACGACTTATTGCACTAATTCGTTACGGGAATTGTTTTACATTTACTTGATACTGAATGATCAGTCTGCATAAATTTGAAGCAGCAGTAGTCGACCGATATTCAAATCTCATAAATGCATAAGAGCCAGTCTACCAGAAAACCATGCAATAGGCTCCAAATGAAGTGTTTTGCATACATGATAACTTCATGACAACTACTTTCTGTGCAAAATCTTTGTTAAAAACATTCAATTGTAGTCTCTTTATGGAGCGCTATCTGTATATAGCCATTTATGGTCAAAATAAAGCTGAAAATAAACCAATTTCAGCAGTTTTAAGCGGACAAATACCAGTGTTTTTACATGTTACTGTTTTATTAGTAAGAATATGTTGTAATACTGTATTTTAAATTTCAAAATATGT